TTACTCTGCTACAAGGTGTTTTTGTTACAACTTCCCGCCATCTTTACTCGAATCGGCGGCCAGCTTCGCTTCAGCTTCAGTTTATTATATTGTCGCTAGGTGTCGTTTTCAACTCGTTAATTTGCAGTTATTCTTTACTTTAAGTCCACATGTCGTCAACACGACGTCGTGTGCGTTACTTTTCTGAAAAGAATATCATTATAAAGGAATTGAAAGTCGTTGCAAGTTTTAAGATTATATGGTTACTCTGTTGCAAGGTGTTAAACACCTATAGGTGGAGACCAGTTACGGTACAACTGTCCGCCATGTTCTTTATTTTAAGATGACATGACGTCAAAACGACGTCGTGTGCGTTACTTTTCTTACTAGAATATCAAAGTATGGATCATTATAAAGCGATTGAAAGTCATTGCACGCTGTAAAATTATATGATTACTCTGCTGCAAGGTGTTAAACACCTGAGAACGGAGACCAGCTACTGCCACAACTTCCCGCCATTTCTATTCAGTTTAAGACGACGTGACGTCAAAACGACGTTATGTGCGTTACTTGTCTTGCTAGAATATCAAAGTATGGATCATTATAAAGGCATTGAATGTCATTGTATGTTGTAAAATTATATTGCTACCCTGCTGCAAGGTGTTTAACACTTATAGGTGGAGACGAGTTACGGTACAACTGCCCGCCATTTTCGTTGATTTAACGCGACATGACATAATAACGACGTCGTGTGCGTTACTTTTCTTACTAGAATATCAAAGTATGGATCATTATAAAGTCATTACGAGTTATAGAATTATATGGTTAATCTCACGCAAGGTGTTTAGCACCTGAGGGTGGAGACCATTCACTTGAATCGGCCGCCAGCATCAGCAGATTATGATATTGTCGCTAGGTGTCGTTTTTAAGTCTTTAATTTGCACTTTATCGTTTAATTGGTACTTTATGATTTTATTCATCTTTGAATTGATATTCTATGCGTTATTACAGACCATTTGCAACAATTCCCCATTCGTGATTTTTCTTTGGGGTCGATTTAGGAAATTTCTGGGATTTCGAATCTGTATTTGAATCAGCTGCTATGCTCGGTTTAGTCCCGAATCGGCGGCTGAAAGGGCGGCTACGAATCGGCGGCCCAATCGGCGGCCTACTTCAGGTTGGTGTACAGATGCACTGCAGTTGAGGCGATGTAACTAGGTCATCAGACGATACCAACTATCAGCGATATGGGAGGCGTACAACGTTTAGTGTGAGCTAAGCTGGGGGGGGGGGGTGTTTAAAAAATGAACAGGTGAACTTGATGTTGCTAATGGTAACCATTCCTCAAATATGTAACACAGCCACAGAATCTACATGTGTCAGAATGTTTAGTATCGTTTGTAAATACGAGGTGATGAACCTACAGCGACGTGATCTCGGTCATCAGGGTCATCAGGGTCAGGTACTCGCTGACCTTTGACCGAGACATCAGCAAAGAGACAAGAGGAGACATTTTCGGTAGACTGATGTCTACTTTACCCCCCAAACGACAGAACGTTAGCCCCACGGTACCACTGATACCTCTTACCCCTCCACAGGAGATCAAAAGGCCAGGCCGGGGGTGGCCAACGAGAAGACAAATGGCTTTTGTCATATATAGGTCAAAGGTCACAGAATACGTGCTCTGATTACCCAGATCAAGTCACTGACCTGGCCGTATCTGGTAACGACGTGACATGGTAGTGTTTGTTGGCGTCAACCACAGCGAGTTCAGTAGGTGAGATGGGGATTTGTCTACCGGCTGTTGCCACAATAATAGTTGATATTTACTGAATTGTTACCGGCAACAAAAGTATTCACAAAAAGGCTATCATAGGATATGCGTGGGGGGTAACTTTTTATAAAGTCAAGAATTTGCAATGTAGAACTATTGATAATATTTGTAAGTTTTCCTATTGACACGTTCGCACATTGTAGCACAGTTTCTCTTCTGGTTCCTTCCATAGCTGCATTTCTATTCACCCAAATGTCATTTACTAGGAATGAGAAAGAAAAATCTTATTGGAACAACGAAGCGCGTAAACTTAATTAATATATGTACACTGAATAAAGATAACGTTTCCTACGAAATATTAAATTCGGACAAACCCCAGAGCACTTCATGTCGAGTATCATGATGAAATCCTACTTTGTTTAGGGAAACACAAAACTACTTAACCTGAACGCTCATAGCATGTCATCCTGGATCGCGTTACGGTTCCTTTCATACCAATCCTGGCTCATCAAACAATGGGAGCAAACCACTGGTATCACAGGAATTTACCGAAAATCTTCTCATTGGCTCAACGCTACTAGAATAAGGGCGTCCTTCGTTGTGAGTTTCTTTATATACGAACTAATATATAAGTCGTCAAATTGCACTCGCACCGCACTCACACTTAGTAACCACGATTTTTAAGGTACTGTAAGAGCTCATCCTCCCCCAAAATCTGACATGGCCTATTCCACTGGTAGCTAGGTCATATGTGGTTTATTCACGGGCAGGCTCTCAAGCACAACGGACACCACACCGGTAAGGTGAGTTACCGGCGCCGGTACCACCTGGAGGTTTGTGCGGCCTAGTAACCCTGTACTGAACTCATCGGACGACCTTCTTTCCTCCAACAAATTTGTGAATTCCAGGGGTCCATACCTGTATTAGGTGTGTATTGTTCATTTATTTGTCTTCTACTTACCTTGACTTTGCAGTGACCTTGACGATAATGGCATCGCATTTTTTTCAAACAGTGGTCACCAAGGAGCATTAATTACTAAGAAAATTGCCGCACTGGCGTAATAAGTTTAGGACGTTTCTTACTGACAGACTAGAGGTGTATGTGTCTCTCTATACTTACCAGTGAAGTGCATCATGTGTGGTATTTAAGTCGACGAAGGTTAGACATTCAGGTAATGCTATACACAACAAAACTGTTACTCAAGGAACTGGATAGATTTTAAAAACTGTCAAACGTTTCAAGTAGCAACCACTACGTTTCGTCAATTAGTGAATGTTACTTGAGACATCTGACAGTTTTAAAAATCTATCCAGTTGCTTGACTAACAGTTATCTTGTGCATGTGTAATACTGTTGTCCCTTTAGCCGTATGAACTTCTATTCCCACCCCTTTACAATACACTGATCCCAATCTAGAAAAAAACTATGTGCCTTCAGATTTTAAAGCTCCTTCTATGATTTTGTACAGTAGCACGATATATAGACAAACTTTTTGAACTAGGCACACGGTTATGAGTAAAATTCGAGATTGTCATGTACTAGTATTTGCAGTGGTCACCTTATTTCGTCATTAGTGGTATAGCTCGACAGAACTAAAAATAAACGTAACGTGTAACTATAGAAAGACTCAACAGAATAATTACCCAAGCGTGACGCTAAGTAAATGTTAGCAGAGGCTGTTTTATTTCGTTATTTGCTTAGTGTAGGACTTGAGCTATGGGGAAATACGTAGTACTACTACATACAATGGAAATTCAATTTGCTCCCATGCAGAGATTTAACAGTAATGGCCACACAAAGTGTTCTTACACATTACACTCTAAAAACGTTTGCATTGTAAGCTGAGCGATGTAATGTACACCCGTATTCTCATTGCGTTGACTTTTCCTTGCGTTGGTCGGTAATATTCTTCATTGTTGTGTCGATTACGAATTTAAAATTGGCAAGACCGATGGATTTTAGAATAAAAAGAAGGAAGAATAGATATAAAACTATAGAATAAAAAGAAGGAAGAATAGATATAAAACTATAGAATAAAAAGAAGGAAGAATAGATATAAAACTATAGAATAAAAAGAAGGAAGAATAGATATAAAACTATAGAATAAAAAGAAGGAAGAATAGATATAAAACTATAGAATAAAAAGAAGGAAGAATAGATATAAAACTACAGAATAAAAAGAAGGAAGAATAGATATAAAACTATAGAATAAAAAGAAGGAAGAATAGATATAAAACTATAGAATAAAAAGAAGGAAGAATAGATATAAAACTATAGAATAAAAAGAAGGAAGAATAGATATAAAACTATAGAATAAAAAGAAGGAAGAATAGACATAGAACTATAGAATAAAAAGAAGGAAGTAGGATGAGTACAGTCAGTGTAGTCATGCAATTCATGTGATTTTAACTTTGGTTCGACTGAAACGTTTTAAAGAAGTAGACAGGTAACGGTTTTATCTAAACTAACAGCTTTGTTGCTGTTGTTTAAAGTCTGTGAAGCCCTACCTAAGGATGATTTTGTTAATTTACTGATGATGATCTGTATGGTAATCAGTGCTCGACATTATTTTACAAAAATGTCGCTGCACTGTTTCCCGTGTTTATTTTCGTGACTAACTCCGTAATGTCGCACAGGTGATTCGACCGCAGTCGTCCGCGTACCTGTTGGAACAAATGAGCACTAAGGAAGAACGGTTACGAGACTACGTTAGGGTAAGCTAACAAAGTCTATAAAAGTCTGTAGAACATATACTCTTTAATTTTGTTTTCTCATTTCTTCAATTTGATCAGCTTCCATGCCAAGCCAGAGGAGTCTTGTTCATGATTGCGGGGACGGATTTTGATACGTTCTTTGAGAGTACATGTTCAAGTTCTTAACACTGTCTACATTTAGATTATAATTACGTGTATTAGTAAATCTTCGGTAACATTTCTGGAGATAAATGTCCTGACATACTGCTGATCATACTAGTTTTCCCTTTCGATCATACTATAATGTTTAATTATGATTGTCTCCTTAAGTTGTGAAATGACGTTAGGATTATTCCTTTTTAACTCGAGCTGTACTTCTTCATATTTCCGCTAGGGGCACAGTAAGAGCGGTCATCCTCTTAGTGTCCTTGAAGCCTTCGACAAGTTTTCATCTGATCTAGAATGGACCATGCACGTGGGAGAAACAAAAGGTAAAGAACTCTCGCAGCCGTATGATCAATGATTCTAAAGCCTCTAAAATTCTAAAGAAATTTCAGATGATCTACAAAAAAATCAAATGAGGCACAAGTTTTTATTCTGACTTGCAATTGTCTTGCTTTATCTGTTCATTCTTCTTTACTCAAGTGCTCAGGTTGATACATGCAATTCAGTGGTATTTTTGTACATATGCATGCTAGGTAACGCAAGGTTACCAGTTTACGTGCAGGACCAGTTTACGGTCAGTTAGTGACACGGCCACGCTTCGAGGTGTACCAGCCAAAAATCAACGGTCGTGAGCAACAAAGAATAACATGAATATGATCCTTATATGTGTCTTTTATTTATTCACTGGATGGGAATAAGTTTGCATTCAGCGACACAGCAGAGTATCTTCCGATATGACGGGACAGCAAGGTAACATGGCCTTGGACGCATGTTGTGTTTTTCACATAATACAATACTCAACATTTCGTCGATTTTTTAAAATCCCAAGAATGCTAGGAAATTGTAACGATAGCTGGCATCAAACCTGGCTTTCTTATTTCAATCATCCATGGTGTTGTGAGGTATGAAACTTTCAAACACCTTGAAATAAACAAGCAAAAGTACAGTGGCAGTTCTCGCCGACTAGCGTTTTTTCGAACGCCATTTTGATCATCATCATCGTTGCATCAGGTGACGTCACGGTTTTAAACTGCAGGAAGGTACGTAAAAGTCGCACCGTGGCGCTGTTGCACATTAATTTATGCAAAAATGCCAAAATGGCTTCCTGCGTCCGTAGCAAAAAGTTTGCTCGGGTTTTCACGACGTTCCGTTGTGTCTGGAGGGGCATAGACGCTTGTTATCTATTGCAACGGTTTAATGGAACATCTTGGGCCATTATGTCACGTTCTACTAAGGGAAAAATGCAGGTCCAGCCTCATTTAGCACCACAGCGCTACTGCATGCGACAGTGGGCTACACACTGACATTTTACCGTGGTTTGTTGTTGACCACTTCGGTATTTTTTTGCAGAAAGTGTTTGTTTATGTGCGCTTATACGCAGAGCATACAAGGACAAAGGTCCAAGTGACCGTTAATTGGTCACCCTAGAGCAATTCTCCACTGTTAACTACTAAATAAATAAAAGCTGGCACGGCACAAAAAACGCAGGGAAGAAATGACACGGCACACACTTTTATAACCGACGAACTACTGTTTCTTCACAAGGGTTAAATATTTAGTTCTGCCCATGCGTTTTCACAAAAAATGGAATTTTCCATAATTCGACCGTAAACTGGTAACCTTGCGTTACTGATGCAAATTATACGATTTGTAAGATGTAATTAATGTGCACGTGTAATGAATGGTTACGACTGAATGGTTATTAGAAACCTACAGTCACAGATATCACCTGCAGTTCCAGTCTTTCCGTTAACATTTTAATTTCCAAACGATTAGAACCTACTGTAAACGAATGTGTAGGCATCACAACACGTCCGTCAACTACTGTGACATTTTTTACCTTTCTCGCTAGGTGTCGTGCTTGATCAGGCGATACGAGACCTCCAACCAAAAGTGTGCCTGGAACTAGGGACGTACTGTGGCTACTCCGCCATCCGCATGGCCAGGCAGCTGCGGACGGGCGGGAGGGTGATCGGTGTGGAACACAGTCAGAAGTTTGCTGATATCGCCCGGGACACCGTTAGACACGCGGGGCTGGGCAAAATGGTGAGGAAGACAAACATGTTCACAGCTATGCTGCGTTGATACAACTAATCAAGGAACTTTTCGTGGTGGAATGGAAGTTCTGATTTGTCTAGATGGGATCATGAACCATGTATGACGGTAACAAGTTAAAGTACACGCGCACACGCACGCACACACGCACGCAAGCACACGCACGCAAGCACACACACACTGTGACACACACACACAAACACACACACACACACACACACACACAAACACACACATACATAGACACACACACACATACATACATACACACACACACACAGATAGACACACATACATACACACACACACACACACACACACACACACACACACACACATACATACACACAGACACACAAACACAGAGAGACGGAGAGACGGAGAGAGAGAGAGAGAAAAAGAGATACACATACACGCACATACACATACACATATGTATACTACAAGTACTAACGATACATTATACATGATCTCCCCCATTACCCAGGTTAAGATGATCGTTGGTAGTTCCAGTCAAGTCATTCCTCAGCTGAAGAGCCAACATGGCGTCTCACAGGTGGACTTCGTGTTTCTGGACCACGCCGAGTCTCTGTACACCACGGATTTAAAACTGCTAGAGAGACACGAGGTAAGCCGTCATGCCGTCTTTGTTTTTATGTATTATGAACCATCTAATTATAGGATATCTGAGTACAGACTGAGGTAATTAAAATGTTTGCGATGTGTGTTTGTGTATGTGTGTTTGCTTGTGTGGTCTTACAGTCGAGTCACAGCACGTGGGTGAGAGAATGCCCTAACCACAGACCACAAAAGGCCAGACACGGAAAGTTATGTCCCAGGAACTGACCGAGAAACTGTTGGACGGATGCCAATAAAAAAAGGAATAGGACTATATAAACAGAGAAATTCATAATAATAAATAAAACGAGAAATTCTAAAAGAAATACATATTTCACGGAGATGTGAAATCTTCCTGTTGTCAGATAGAATAAAAGTCATGTTTCTTCATTAAGACCAAAACGATTTCGAGAATAAAATTGACTGCACTGACAGCATCCATTGCATGAGTTTCGGTATAGTCTGTTGGATACTGCCTTATTATCTATTGCAGGCTTGGGCACCGATAGAATTGGAGATTACTTGCTATATAATAGCTTAATATGCTTCATGTATTTTTTTTACGTTGTCCCCCTCAGCTCCTGTCCACGGGGTCTGTGATCCTGGCGGATAACGTGATGCATCCCGGTGCCCCGGACTTCCTGAAGTACGTGCGCGGCTCGCCCCGGTACGAGTGTTCCTTCCACCCCGCCACGGTACGGACGGTGGACGGGAACACCGTACAGGACGGCATGATGAAGGCGGTCTACTACCACAGACGGATATGATAATATTGTAACTTAGATAGGATAGAGGATGAACACCATTTTGTGGTGGAAATATATGTAGTTTGTAGTAGAATATAATTTAGATAGAATAAATTAAAGGATGAACACCATTTCGTAGTCGTGTGTAGTTTGTAGTACATGTGTGTAGAATATAATTTAGATAGAGGATGAATACCATTTTGTAGTAGAATTTAGTTTTTAGTAGAATGTAATTTAGATAGAAGATGAACACCATTTTGTTGTAAAATGTAGTTTATACGACGATGAGCGAGAGATTTGAACCGATTACAACATACACTTATGAAATACAGGCAAATAATTCACATTTCTAATGATATCGATCTTAGACAAAAGTTTCATTACTACCATAGAGAAGTGAAAAGAAGTCTAGCTTTACTTCATAGATTACAGTGCTAGTGCTGCATGTAGCTTGATCACGCGTGTGTAACGTTACATACAAACTATTCATCTGTTGTGATCTGTACTTAACACAGTGGATATGTATGTACAATGAATGAAAAGTTCTTCATTCATTCATTCCAACATAATGCGTGCAATGGTGAGTCCAAGGTACCACTCTAGTTAACAAGAAATCAGAGACTTCAAACCTTTGGGTTCGTGACCAGGGCTACTTGTGGACAAGTACATGGGCCATGTACGCTATGGGATGGTTTGTTATAGGCATGAGCTAAAATGTTTGGCTAAATGTATGTTCCTTTGTGAGAACAGTGCATAGAAAACGTTGTTTGACCGTCTGTATTATGTGCCTGTACCAAAACAACCATGTTTAAATGTTAGTTTTCATGTAAAAGAACATAGCAGAATAGAATAGCGGTATAATGTAGACTCGACTACATTTTACGTTGACGATTTACAAGTGTATACTTTTGTTTAGTCATCATGATCAGCATGTAATTCATGTGCCATACATGTAAGTCGTGTAGCTTTCAACCTGACTATACAATCAGTACTCTAACCCGCAATATCCCATTAATGCTATTAAGAAGCCGCATATGTCTGTGTATTTGGAGGCGACATATAATAACGTCGATTATGAAATAAATCAGTCTAAATTGTCAAAAGAGTGATCATAAACATTAGTTGAAACAAGAATCATGTCTTTTTTTTCCTGTATTTGAAAAGTTCCAAAAGTGGCACTAGTCAGAAGAATAAAATTAAACTGCAGTATTTGTGATGGAGATTCAGTTGTGCCATGTCTACATGTAGTTTTATGAGACGGAAAATAAATTTTTGAGCCAATGACCGATGAGTTGTTGGGAAAACGTCTTATCAATTGTATCATCATGTTTCCGAAAGAATGAGGCGTATTATACTATGGTAATCCTCATAAGTTACGATTTTCCCTCCCATCATCTGCTTGGTTTTCATTCTTATGGTAATGAGATCGACAGCGAAAAACTCGCTTCTGCAAAGGATGTGACCAGTTCTGCAAGCGATCAGCTGATCGCAAAATCACATTTTGGGGTATAACTCGAGAACGAAGAAAATGTGATGGAAGGCATTACGTAGGAATAGAATGGAGACTACAATGAGTATACTCTGGAAACAAGGAGGACGAAAGATGTCAAAAGTTTGATTTTTCTAAAATTGAAAAAGTGGAAATTCATCCCCTATCACACCCCCATATCCGAGCCCGCGTTCCGAAAAGGTCCGTATCTCGCTAAGGAAGCCTCGCTCATTCCCAGATTTGGCCAATTCGCGAGTTGGGAAACGCGATGGGCTCTTATGGGGTTTTTACTTCAGGTCTTTCTTGCTCTCGTTCTTGACATTGAGGCTCGTCCGGAATACACAAGTACCATGAATTCATCAGAAAAGAACCGTTTTAGTCTCGCATCTGTTCATTTTCATAAAAACATTCCTAGAACGGCTTTTACGTGCGGTTGAATACGGAGCTTTTTCGCCAATATTTCTGTCATTTTAGTTTTCACGCATCCAAAAAAATCTACCGTTTACTGGAAATAAAACTCACAAATCTTCTCCAGACCATTTTCAACGGTTTCCCACTCACGTCATATCAAGGGCCAGACGTTATATCAACTTAATCAAGGATTAGATGTGCTTCGTCTATACGGATTTTTCTCGCAAACTTGTTACTATCTGATCCCTTTTTTTGTTGCCTTTTGCATCAAACCGAATCAAATAATATACATATTTGTACATCAATTATCAAAAGGTAACACAAGAAAATTCCAACACTTTTGTCATGATTTATTCCCTAAAACTCAACGTGCCATATAGTGTATGGAGGTACAATTTGATTTATGACACTGTACAAGTGTAAATATAAGATACCCATAAGTTTTACACTCCCTATAGCTGCCTGCAGCTCACCATTCCATGCAGCTCACCATTCCATAGCTAGTCCATACAACATACACCACAAAATTTCATATTTCGTCATTGGTTCACTGCTATAAAAATTGTACAATTCCCACATTAAAAAATTCTTACTGGAATATTTTCTTATCCTGATACAGGAAATACGGACCTATATTATATCCTGGAATGTACACAACTTTTGGGCCCTGTGTTCCATGTACATGTCCTATATGTTACATCCTGCAACAATGACCAAGTGATTATACATGTATAACGCACTATCTCTTATTGCAACTTGTGGCCTTTCATAGATGGGAGGTTATTCACTTTACATTACAAGATGAAAAATGCACATATTAACTGGAATGAAGAAAGTAGGACTGAGAAAATGTACCTAGTCAATTTCTAACTGTTCTCTCCTCTACTCACCAGGATAGTGTTAGAAATGATTGCACAAGAGTAAGCAGATAAGGTAGCACAGATTGAAAACTTTGTATTCCCTGAAAAATTATACTTAGTACTACTTCCCCATACCATGATTGTTCCCTATCTGTTACCCAGGGTGTTATTCAATCTCAAATTGCTAGTATTGGTGTTGCTATGGCAATGAGCTGTGGTTACCATGGTAACAGACTCACACCTGCCCAAGCTGAGGTTACCTTTCCTATTTTTTATATCTACAATAATATTGGGTGATGTTATACCACTTCTCCTGCTGCAGGATGGGAGTTGGTGTTAGATGACTTGCTCGCTCCGCTGGAAGAAAGAAACATGGGTGAAATACATGTACATGTACTATGAAGTAGAGGTGTAAAGTGCTTTGAATTCGCATCATGGATTCGTTTTAGCAATTTTAAAAAAAAATTCAGACACTACTAAAATCTAATCCCACCAAACTAAACAATTAAAAAATAGACTCTAAACTAGTATTTATGAGCCCCTTTTTTTCAAAATCACTGACTAACAGTTACTCCTTACAAACCCAATTTTTTCCTTAAAGGCATGAAATGCAATTTCAAGGCGGCAAAACTGGATTTCCAAAGAAAGAAGCTATTATTGGTGGTACCAAAAAATAAAGGGACTCCTCACGTTTGTTTTGGGGCTATTCCAAAAAGTTGAAGTATAAAATGATGACTAAGAAATGGCAATTATGTATTGTCAATATCAGACAGATTTCCACATGCAGAATATCTTCTTGTTTTGCCACTCTGAAATTACATTCGATGCCTTTAAGAATCTTAGATATGGATGGAAGTAGGGAGGATATTTACGTTACTTTTACTTTCTGAGCAGCGAGCATCCATGTCCTGACGGGGGAGACCAGTACCCCCCCTAGCAGGATCTGTGTGGGGTGGTACACCAGGAGGGGGATAGAGATGACTGACAGGTGTTCATAACCAGCAAACACTATCTTCAACATGGGAATGCCTGCAACACAAAGAAGATACAGTTAACTTCTGTGAAGGTACATTGTGTGTAATCCTTGTCTTTCTGAATCACATGTCAGTCAGTGTTCTAGGCAGTCTAAAATTTAGTTCTCAATTTTGTCTGTAACATCATAGTCGAGCGATAAAGGCCAGACAATTATAGGGGGGTCCGGGGGCATGCTTTTGAACGAAAAACCTTTTTTTAATCTTGGACCCCTGAAACGCTACTTCCTGCATTTTGGGGAAAATTTTGCTGGGAGACTAAGCTTAGTTTAATGACATGTCTGTCCATATCTTATACACACCAATTTTTGTTCGGCATAAGCAGCAAAATTCCATCAAATGATGGAAGGTGGTGGTGAAGATGAAAAATTAACTTTGAAGGTGAAGATGAAAAAAAAACTTGAAATTATATAGATATGCATGTACATGTACATGTGCTTCACGTTATAATTGAGAACTGTAAAAGGGTACATTACATCTAGTCAGCACACAATGAAAAAATGCAGAAGTACCACACACTTGTGCACTGTTTGCACAATTCTTTGAATAGAAAAGGCTGCTTCAAGTTCAAGGGTTTTAATTTTGGAATCAAGCCAAAACAAGGAAGTGAGTCAGTTTGGGAACAATGCCCTGTCTGAAACAGGAAAGGAAGTTAAGCTGGAAACAGCCCAAAAAAGGCAGTCAAGGAGGAACTGAAAGTCTGTAGAAGCACACTCGTGGGACAGAAGTGAAACCAAACACTTGCATTTAAATTATTCATGTAAAGGAGAAGTTGTCAGTGTGCCTGCAAAGCTGGTGTGTTCTGCTGAAGGTTAGATGCTGTAGTGTAGTTGCAGCCTGACACACATCATAATTCCATAGACCACGTGAAGTGAGAGAACAACGAGCAACATGTCCCAACTGTGGCTCTTTGTTTGTGTTCTTCTGGGCCATTCTGCCTGGAAGTATGGCGTATCAGCAGTCAGAAATGATGCCTTTCCGTGTTGGAATTTTAACACCACCTTCGTGGACTGTAGTGAGCTGGATCTGGAATCAGTTCCTCTACTGCCACAGGAAACAATAGCCTTGGACTTTAGCGACAACAGGATTCATACACTAGCGAACGACTCGTTCCACGGACTGGACAACCTCCTGCAACTCAAACTCTGTACCAACGGCATAACCTCCATGGAAGACCAGGCCTTTGCAAACCTACAGCAACTGGAGGAACTAAACCTGAAAGAAAATCCACTAGTTTACATTCGCCCAGAGGTTCTCCTTCCTCTGCAGTCCCTAAGGAAGTTGGATCTCTCTACAGCAAGGCTAATGGCTATTCCAGAAGCATTGAGAATGCTCCCTAACCTACAAGACGTCAACCTTGGAAGGAACGACATCACATCAGCCAGTCTTGATATTTTCAGAGGTATGTCTAAGATACAAACCATAAGTCTTCAAGGCAACTACATCAAAAACATCTCAGCAAGTGACTTCAGTATCCTTAAAAATAAGTCACTACATGCATTGTCTCTCTCAGCAACTGTGGAAAGTTTGTCTCACATACAGGAAAGAGCTCTAAATGCTTTGAAGACAGTACAGGAACTGGATCTTAGTGACATTGAAGTACAAGGTGGAGTGCGAGAGTTTTGGGCCTATACTTCCGAGTTGTCTTACGGCACAGTCAAGTATCTGAACTTCATCCATATGAGACTGAACATATATCAAAATGACTTCTTTTATTTTCTTCCACAAACAGTTGAGGAACTATTGTTGGATCTTAACTACATTTTTACCTTGAAAAGGCAATCGTTTGCAGAGCTCAAGAATTTACAAGTTCTCCGTCTTTCTCAATGTTGGATGTCTAGCATTGAGATAGGTGCTTTTGATGGCTTAGAGAATCTGAAAGAACTGCATCTGAGTGGAAACAAGTTGTCAGCACTAGACTCACATGTACTGTCCCCTATTTCTGGCAGTCTTGAGGTACTTAATCTGGGTAATAACATTAACTTCCAACTACACCCAGGTAATCTTAAAAACCTAACTGTGTTGAAAATTCTGGCACTACAAAACACTGGGATTCGCTCCCTTGAAGATGATCACTTTGAAGATCTTGGTAATTTGATTCAGCTGGACATAAGCTTTCTACAGGCAGACTACAAACCAACCAAAGAAGGCATATTCAGGTATATTTTCAATCTAGAAGTCTTTTTGGCAAAGAAAAATGGTAGAACATTCTTTGAGCTTGATGCCATTTTATCTGCAGGCCTGGATTCACTACGTGTTATTGACTTGGATAGTGGGGGTTCTAATATTCTCAATGATAGAGGAAGAACAGTAAATGTTTTGGATTTGCAAGTTTTGAGAGTGACAAATTCGGCTTTTGACGTACAACCCTATGCTTACAACTATAGGGCTGATCTCTTCTGGAATCTAACAGAGTTACTGGAGATAGATCTGTCACAAAATGGGTTTCAAGGGATCAAAAAAGAAGCATTCTGGCATTTGAAGAAACTGGACACTCTGAAGTTAGCCGGAAACTACTTGGCATCGTTGCACCCAAGCATGTTTCGTGATGCAAACAGCCTGAGAGTTTTGGACCTCAGCTATAACAGACTTACTACTGTATCACCAAAACTGTTTCAACATGTACATGTATACTCTCTGCGACAGCTTTACATGCAAAATAACCTGATCACCTCCATTGGGCCACAAACACTGAAATATTGGAACATATTATACAAGTTAGACCTTTCAGAAAATCCTTTTTCCTGCACCTGTCAGCTCCTAGATTTTGTTGTATGGGGAAGGAATAACACATCAGTCAGGATAATGTATTATTACTCTACTAGTGGTTTCAAATATTACATGTGTTCCTCTCCTCCTGACATGAAAAACCTTCCCCTCATAGACTACAAGCCAGATTGTAAGTCCTATACTGGATACTATATGTGTATAGTCATGTCCACGTTAGTTTTCCTGTATACAACCTTAACATACGTGATTGTAAAGTATCACGCGTACATCCGATATCTGTATCAGTACGCGAGGGGGAAGTTGCGTGGGTACCAGGCCATTCCGTACCGAAACAGATACGAGTATGACGTGTTTGTGTCGTATAACAGTGAGGACATCCGGTGGGTCCAACAGGAACTGATTCCGAACTTGGAGGAAGCGGAGCCGCATTACAGACTGTGTATCGGCGACCGCGACTTCCTTGCCGGACGCGACATCACGACAAACATCGTGGAAGCGATCCAGGGTAGCAGGAAAACGCTGTGCCTGCTCACGCGAAGGTTCGTCCGCAGCGGATGGTGCACCCTGGAGTTTAAAATTGCCCAGCATCGTTTGTTCGAAGAGGGACAGGACGTGTTGGTTCTGGTTCTGTTGGAGGACATCCCGGCACACGTGGTGCAGAGGTACAACCGTCTGCGCCAGCTCATGTCCAGGAAAACGTACCTCGTGTGGCCCGAGGACCAACAAGCACGGCCACTGTTCTGGGTTCGACTCAGGAAAGCACTCGGAGCAGGAAACGTCTTGCCAAATGAAGAAGATATTTAAGGATTCGAAGTGTTTAAAATAAAGAAATAGCACTGTAATCAAAGCTGAGAGGTCAAGGTAAAAACTTTAAGCTCAAACCACCTTTCTCAATCTATCAAGAATGGGGATATTCTGGAGTACACTTCTATTTGTACATGCATGTGTTAGAAGTTGTAGCATGTGTAGTAACAGTTGCAATGTACATATATTAGGTACTTACCTAGAGTTAATGACTTGTGTGTTGCACAAAACATAAGACTGACCACATCAGATGGAGTAAAGCCAAAAGATGGACTGTGGAGAAAACATATAAGACATATACTGTCAGATAAATGACAAAAATCTTAACCATTAGATATGTAATTATATTATCATATACATGACATTGTGTATCATTACTAATTCATGTAAATTCTGCTATTATCTTAATTTCAAAAGTATTTACAGTAAGTATTGTTGTGCCAAACAAAATGCAGAACTGAATGCACACTTGTATAGCTGTTCTCTTTTAGTTTTTTAATTAGAGAATCATAGTTTACTTTTTTATGGTGGAATACTGAATATTGTGAATTATGATGTGTGTCAAAGACAAATAATATACAGATACTACATTGTCACTTTAAGATGTGTTCTAGTCATTTGTGCATCAACAAATATTAATGTGTTCTACAGGTATGTCACACATGTCACACCAAAGTTATTTGATATAATACAGGTTGTAGCTATATCGTGGCTCTCAACATCTTAATGTAAAGTACATTGATAAAAAAATGCTTACTGCTTACTAAAATGTACTATATGATTGTGTAAATCATATTACAATGTACTAGTACATGAATTGGACAAACCAATATCAACTCACCTTCTTGTGACGAAGAACAAAAAAAGTAACAGGCACACCTGTATCAATAGCACTGGATTGAAAAGGAAAAAAAGACACAGGGTTAGATCTACATTGTCATTCAGTAACGACAAAGTAAGAAAACTACAATTGAAATTGTATTGAGATATCTCTGATCAATCAACTCATAAAACAATCAAATTAATGACACAATAACCTAATTTTGATTGAAATTTTAGCACAAGTAATTAATAATTTTGACCTGGCAATGATGCTTTCATAATAAATTATTCTACATGTAGCACTGTAAATTACATTTAAAGTATATTCAAGTAATTCATTCATTCATTACAAATTTCAATTCAGCATTTCATTAGGCAAGAACTCTAACCACGCAAAGTTATCCAAGATAATCAAATTGTATAGTGAATTACTTACTTACAAGCAAATGCATTTTACAGGTACAGAAGTAATGGTGTTGTATACATACCTACACAAACAATGGAGACCAGACTGAAGTGGTCCAGTTCAATATCAGAACTACTGAAGGTGTCACAGAATGTTGTGTAGATGATCAGCAACAGTGTACAGCTGAAATACAGTATGGGAATACAGTTTCTGACATAATATCATACTAGTAACCATAAGTTACAATGCAAACAGTCAACTAATCAGAGAAAAGATATACATATACCAGAGATTCCAAACTTATGTGAAATGTTTACAAAGCTTGAAAATGAATGATACTTTTTCTGCATTTCTGCACTGGTGAAGGTAACATATTTGAAATTACCTGCACCAGACAAATTTTACCTTCACCTGACTCAGAAGTTAGAAGTATGGATCATACACTAAAATCTGTTCAGAGACCATTATTGCCATTATTTCTTTTATACACCATCATCATCATTCACTGTGTTCTGCGTCTACAGTCTCGTAGAGATGTCCTGTAGCCGCATTCAGTCTTTCTTCATACACCATACAGCAAATAAAATGCACATTCACCTTCGTGTATATATTATAACCCAGTACATGAACCATTGCAGGTGAGATGCAGGTAGATATGTACATCAGAAATGCCTACACAGCTCCAATTTTACCTACAGGCGATGGTATTTCAATCCTGAAGACAAAACTCGCCTGCTTATGCTCCCAAACGGAGGCTTGCTCTTCTCCAGCCAGTCTTTCACATATCTCCTGACGACTTGTCCCACAATGAGAGGCACCACCACCGTGAGGGTCAGCTGTCCAAATATGGTGCTGTACGGGACAGCTGAAGGTGAACCGAGCTGCAGGGGAACAGCAAGACATGGCTGTATTGAAGATCAATGGCACAAAGGAGAACAATCTCATTCAAACCTTACACTTGTTAACTGACATTTTTCCTCCCAGTTTTAAACCCTCTTGCTCTCACTACCTACTTCCAATTCATTATTCCTACATAGTATTATCTTTAAGTCTTAACTGCAAAAATATATAAGAAACACATGTACTCTGTACTGTGTACTCTGGTAAAATGTCAAATTTAAATGGTCTAATGCACTGACAGTTACAACTTTTGAGTACTGAAGAAGCTAAATGCACATTGTACAAAAGTTGTCCTGGAAAAAGGTGTGTATATTTTGTCCAAAACCTACACGTATGTTCAGTACTAAAACAGTTAGCCTCTACCAGGCTTCAGAGGTGGCTGAAAAAGGAAAAATTGGCCAAAAGGACAGATAACATGTCAGGGGAGTTAGTCCGCTAAAGGAGTCCAGTAAAGGAATTGTCAGTTTGAAACTACTCCTCTAGCGGACCGACTCCCTTGGCAAGTTATCTGTCTATTTGGTCACTTTGTACTCTTTATAGCCACTTTTGAAGCCTGGTAGAGGCTACTGAAACAGATGAGATGTTTGTTTTGAGGGAGGGTAAAAAACGAAGCACAATGTAGTGAGAGAATAATTTCAACTGCACACACGAAAAACTTTTTACTGCAAAATCAAGCTCCAGCAAAAAATAAATTGACAGTATTATACAAAAACAGCATGCCTACATGTATCAAACTGTAATAACATGTATTATTATTTATGGTGGCTGATGAAGCTGAACTTATCCCCCATTCTTAAAAACACTGGTCTGTAATGATTAATAGATAAGGAACTATGGGACCATAAAACAATTAGATGCAAATAAAATTAGTGTTTACAGCTATTCAACACAATTTGTTCCACTTGCTTATTTTGTAAGAAGTTTTGGTCACTACAGTGGACTGTATAGTCTGTAGGTAATTGAGCATGACTACAGCTGGTCATTGTTAATTCCTATCCATTATTAGTCAGTAGATGGGGCGTATAATATAAACTCATGGACCATAAAAATTATGTAATCTACTGGATCTAATTAGGACCTGGAGGTGCTGTAAAACAATTAACAAATGTAAAACTTCAGATTTTTGCGATGGTTTTATTTTGACTGTTTTCGTCGTGACCTCACCTCCACAAATTTGGTCACTGTATTTATTTTGTTTGAAGCTCCTTCGAGTTAATAATATGTGTTTTCAATGTATAATACAGTACAATAGTTATAAAGAACATAGTTTTACACTGTGAATAATTGAACCATACTTACAAATAGCAGTAGTAAGACTGGAGTGACAAAGATACCCTGTATGGGGAGTAAAAGAAGTTGTCAGTTAACAAAAATGTAAATCCATAACATGTCACGTGTCAGTTATAATGTACTGGCATGGACTTCACTTAGAGAGATGGCAGAAACCTTTCTTTGAAGTCCATGCCTGTACATTATTTTACATGGAGCCAAAGCAGGCCTCTCTATTTCAATTTTCCTGAGGTGAGGATAGACTGTCTTTCAGTGGCAAAAACAAACAACAAAACAACTAAATTACAACTAAGTAAACTTTAAACAAATATCAAATGAGCCCAAGGTTACAACACAGCATGTTAATGCAGAGATTGCCCAGCATGTACATGTAGTATCATTTTTATTATCATCTTCTGCATTATTTGCTCAATTAACTTAAAGTTTTTATTTCTCTCTGACAAAAAGAAACTGATACATGCTGCCGCATGCATTTTCTACCTGGCACTTCTAACAAGTGGGGGAAATTGCTGACACCATATCAAAATTTAATTTCTTTTAACTCCTGGTCAAAAACAAAGACAAGTTTTTGTAAGACTTTGAGTTAAACTGTATGTACCACCGTGATGGTAGGGTCAACAATACCAGAATGCTTGACTGTTAAAGTAGTTCAAAGCCTCCAACCGCATTTTGTAAGAATGTTGAAACTAGAAACTCTTTAATTCGTACTGTGAGATTCTATAATATTCTAATTTTGCCAAAAATTCCTACAGTATATTTTTCATGGGTTCACTGTCTCGTTTTAACGAGTTGTAATGTACTTTACATTTTGATGCTTGCTTTCCTGGTGGTGTGAGTACTAGTATGCATGTGCAATGACCTTTGACCATGGTCTTCTTGAATTACTAAACAAACTTCCTTAAGAATGGGAGTAGTTGGTATGTAGGTGTGGTGGAATGTTTCACCTGCGGCTATTGTGGCAACGAAAATTTTTTCAGCTCAGTCGACCGAAATTTTGGTACCCGGGACAGCTTAATGTGAGGATCTGTGCTTCAGATGGTGGTACGTTAGGAGAGCCAGTGCCTCTTAGCCTCTAAACGGTCATCCCATCCTGATTGTTCACTAACTTTGGTTAGTTTCACTTTCATTGGTATGTAACATTAGGTGTTTTTGTTCTGTTCTATTCACACTTTTGTTTGTTACCTTTGTCCAGAACATTATGTGTTAGGTACACCACATATAGGGGGTACAGATCCATGAAAAAGGGTATTGAATTGTCTATGTCTCTGTGTGTGTGCCTCCATATATTTGTAGTCAACATAACTTTAAAAGAAGGCCTTTATGCCTTATATGATGTTGATTGATATTTGGTATGTGGGTATATTTTAGGAAGAGTCAAGGTCATTTATAGTCAAGGTCAAATGTGGGCTTCCTGTGGCTGACCTCACTACTGCAGCAGAACTTCAGATTTTTTAATATTTTGTCCCAGCTATGTATGCCATGATCTTGATTTTTTGGTGGCAGATACATGTAGCTATATATTGTGTCAGAAACAAGTGGTGTGGGTTGGGTTACTCTAGCAGAATCGAAGCGGATACTTCCAGAAAGGAACAACGTATCTTCAATGATTTTTGGTATGTAGCTAAATTAGATAGAGATGTACATACTCAATGTAATGTAAATCCCAAATTTGTAATAACTTTGCCTCCACAGGCACATGAAATTAGTAGCTTTTATTGGGTAGGTTTTATTGGGTAGATTTTGATGAGATCTCAAACTGAACAGATTTTGGTCCCCTGTTGGCTTGATATGGTACTGCTGCGGAATTTTGGTGACTTTGATATCTTGTGTCCTGGACAAATGCTAGGGTCACAGATTTTGGAATGGTAGATAGCTCTTCTAATGTGATTGGACTGAAGTGACGTAAGTTTGGGACCCTAGCAGCTTGTTCTGGAACTGCTGGAGCGTTTATCTAAAAATCTTCGTTTTTGGAGGATACCTCATGAAAGAATTCAGGTTGAGGGATTGTTGTAATTTTTTTCATATCTAATTGGCATAATTAATTAGTAATATTCTATTCTGCATTCCATGATAGGACTACTAGTATTCAAACTTGTGACATCACAAATATTGGTACATGAAAATGAACACATAAAATATATATATATACTATAGTGGTAACTGCCTGGAATTTCATACTTGAAGAATATTGTATACTATACAATATTCTTAAGTCATTCAGTCTATGATGTTATCTTGCAATGCTTAATTGTCAGTTCCTTCTCAATTAAGTCAACAGATACAAAAAGAAAACATTTTCAGACATTTAAGTAATTCAAATCAGGACCTCATTTACAGGAATGCAGAATCTGATATAGGAAATGTTAGAATAACCTTCTGTGCAAAGGTGGGACTGTCACAGGGTGTATATACATTAACATAATCAACAGATATAGTTCATGGTCATGCAAATGAGGATCTAATTTGCATAATCAATGAGTCACAGATACACACACACAAGTCGTCAGTCATGAAGTTTAACAGTATTCGGCAAAGGTATGAGATTGTCGAACTCCAAGAAATTACATTGGTGTGGCCTTACATTTATCTTTTACATTAATTCTGGCTTCTATTCTAACACTGACATTTTCCTATTGTCATTTTTTAACCAATGACATTTTCCTTCTAAGTTTCAATTAGGTTCATCACAACACAATGGTCAGGACCAGAGTCAAAGCTGTTCTCCTTGCTGTGGTGATTCTGCTGCAGGAAACTGACAGCAGCCTGGGCTGCAGCAGCAGCTGTCCACCATCCTGTGACTGCAGCAGTCGTGACCTTCACAGCATTCCACAGGACCTTCCTTTGAACATCACTACCTTAAATCTTGAGGGTAATCAAATTGGCTCTCTGAACCAATCAGAGATCCAGAGGTATAATGGACTAGTATGGTTAGATCTTTCCAACAACAGCATCAGCACCATTCCAGGTCAGGTCTTTGCTAACCTCACCAACCTGCGATGGCTACACCTGCAGATAAACTACATAGACACCATCTCCACAGATGCCTTTGCGAACCTACCACAGTTGCAAATCCTCCGCCTTGACAACAATCGCATCAGTACCATCCCGCAAGGCACTTTTACAAACTTACAGCGACTACAGCAACTATATATCTACAGAAATCAGATCAGGACTATCCCACCCAATGTGTTTGCCAACCTGCCACATCTGAACATTATATATGCACAATACAATCAGATCAACAGCTTCTCTTTTATTCCATTTGATAACTTACCAAAGCTGCAATCTCTTCATCTGTACAACAATAAAATCAGCAGCATTGCAAATCTGCCAGATCCTACGAGAGAGCTGTTTCTTCAAAATAACCTACTGGAGACACTTCCAGCTGCTGCTTTTCAAAAGCTTGTATCCGTCCGCTCTGTAGATCTTTCCAACAACCCTTGGTTGTGTGACTATAGGATAGATGACTTTAGAATACAGATGACGGGATCTTCATTTGAAGACCAGATAATTTGTGACCAACCAGCTAGATATAAAGGACAGAAGCTTAAAGATCTTGATGTAGAGGACTTGGTACGTGAATATAAGCCTGCAAACATTGGCTTCAACCCGAGCAGCATTATTGGTCCTGTCTGTGGTGCAATTACTACTGCCATTATCGGAGGCATCATTGCATATTTTAAGAAGTTTTACAAGAAAGGGACAGGACAAAACGATGATCCAGCACAAAACGATAATCCAGAGCAAAACGATAATCCAGAACAAAACAATAATCCAGAACAAAACGATAATCCAGGACAAAACGATAATCCAGGACAAAACGATAATCCAGGACAAAACGATAAT